TTTTAAATACAATCAAATCAAATCTAAATAATCTCAAATAGATAAATATAATCCAAAATTATCTTAAACTTCAAATACAATCCAAAATCACAAAAATTACAAATCACAATCCAACATTAAATTATTATTGTCTCATGTTGGACTGCACCATAACCTAATAATTATTGTATTTTAAAAAAAAAAAATTAATCACGGGTTGGTGGGCCAGCCCGGCTCACCACGGGTTCAACCCGGGTGAGCCGGGTTCAAATTTAACCCGTATTAAAATTTTCAAATTTTTTTTAACCCAACCCGGCTCGAACCCGTGGCGAGCCGGGTTGGCTCGCCGGGCCAAGTCCATTTTGACAGCTCTAGATATAGATGACTTAATTTTTTCAAGTTCTAACAACACGTACACATGTAAGCTTGTTCCAATGTTTTTTTTTTTTTTTTTTTTCCGTTAAATCAATATATTGGGGAATGGCTTGCAGAGCAGACACTAATTTTCTGGAACTGGAATTTCGTCTTAGAAGCAGTGAGCATATCCTCCAGGAAAAAAACATGTGCATGCATGCAGAGGATCTCCTTTTCGTCTCCTTCTTCTGAGCCTTGCATCTTCTTTCGAAATATTAAACTACATTTTTATCCAACTTTTTCAAACTAAAAAATAGGAAAATAATGCATATTAACTATGTCGAATAATTATGTTGGTATTGGGTTTTTTCTTTCAGTCAAAGCATGACATTAATATCATTTAACAAAAGTTAGGCAACCAAATCTTAGTTACAACTATGTAGTAAGTGTGTGTGTATTTCTTTTAGAAAAACCGTATTAGTTATTAGATATACTAAATGTGATATTTAGGGTGGGGTAGGTGAAATTAGGCAATAAATTTGTACGTCGCGGTGGTTTGGAGCAGTGAATAAAGGCCCCTTCCCCACCCTGATTTCCATGCAGAACCAAGACTATAAGTACTATAAGCCCTTTATTACCATTATTGTCTTATCTTTTTTCTTTATGCTATCAGTGTCATTTTCAATATTTAATAAAATCATTATATAATGTATGAACATACATGACCATATGTGGAGGGGGGACCCATGAGGTTAATGAAATAGAAACAGGGAGACCGTGGCTATATTTCAGGGCATACACATAGCCACATAGGGGAGGTACCACCCCAGAAAGTGCCCCCGTATTTTGAGAGAGAACTGTAAGGGCATCCAAAATACACATGCCCATTTATCTTAAAGTTTAAAATAATAATAATAATAATAATAATCTTTTTTTTTTTTTTATGTTAAATCAATATGTAGAAATACAACTCTCAATGTTTGGAGAATTTTTCAGATTATAAATTTAGTTTGAAGGATTAAGCATTTTTCAATGAGAACCTAGTCGTTGCAAATAATTTCAAAAGAGTATATTTCATCATCATACAAAGAGAAGAGAGAGAGAGGAAATTTTCCTCAATATAAGGGATCCTATTTGATTATCTTTTCATTTTTTTTAACATGTTTATGTGTATGGCCAATTAAATATTGTAGCTATTTCTAAATTAATTGGGAAATCACATCATAGTATGGATTCTTATATTATATCATAAATATATATTTTGCTATGGATAAGAGGTATTTGCGTTTTTTACTATAATATATTGGTTTGAAATATGCATGGTAGGAATATGCTTAAGAAAAATAATATTAATTACATCTTTCACATATATTTTTATTTGACAATTATCTTTCTTAATTTATAATTATTCTTACTCCACATATTTCAAGATAACAAATGAAAATATTTTAAATTTAATATACTAATATTAAATATTTTTTGAGAAATATATACAAAGCTTAAACATTAAAAAATTGGTCAATGAGCTGTTGTTTTTTAGAGATTAGGGGATTAATTAATTATGAAGAAAAGCAAGATACGGAATTATTGATTGTTGAAGGGTGGTGGGAAGGAAGAAAGTAGGTACACGGCACTATATAGTATATATGTCAGCATGCATCACGTGGCTAGTTAAAAACCACACGTGCATGTTCTTTCTTCATCTTCACAAAAAGAGGAGAATTACGGAAAGAGTTCCACATGATTGTAATTGTATAAACATCTGATCAGGGAATGGTGTCTCTGCGTTGAATTGCTGAAGAAGAAATGTGATTTCATACACAACTCATTAAAAAAGCACACTCCTCCACCGACTCAACATTATCTTAGATATGGTGTGCTTCTGCTTCCATCCATTTCTTCTTTTTAAAAATACTAATATATTATTTTATTTTAATTATGATTCAAATATTAATAAATTAATACTTTCATTTTTTACTACAAATAATTTAACACATGTATATTTTAATCAAAGCTTACATATCTGACATTTATATATATCGACCAAATAAGAGAGTTATATTATACTTACTAATTATTATAAAAAAAAATAGTATGGCTTTTGTACTATTACTATGATTTAACAATTAAAATTATTTATTTAATTAAGTGTAGAAAAATTAAAACGAATGTTTCATTAGTTTCGTGTCTTTTTTCTATTTTAGGTGTATATGATATAATTTTGAAACCTACAAACATTATTTTTTCTTCTTTGATTCTAGAATTGAATATGAAAAATATTACGAAACCAAAGGTTTTGAATTATAATGACAAATTACAAAGTCTGCGATGGGACATCTCCCACTAAACAGAATTATGGAATTACACATTGTGCAGAAACTATATTACAAACCACTGTGTTTTGTAATATTGTCCTTTCAACACGTGAAATGAAAATAGAATTAAAAAAAGAAGTTACACAAGTTCATTCCTAAGCAATGAACCTTATATGTGGATGACAAGACTTTTCATTAATAATTAATAATAATGACTACTTGAATAAAGTCTATTAATATTTCAGCGTATATTTTTTCCAGCAGTAACTTCACTATGTCAATTGTAATTTGTAAACCCATCTTTGTAAAAGGTAATCTTACTTGGAAATTAAAAGGAAGAAACACTTCCTTAAGGAAACTCCACCCTGACCTATTATTATAAGCTTTAAACAAATCAAGTTTAAAAGCCATAACCTCCCTTTTTTTCCCCTTCTTTTTATTTCATAAAATTGAAGGAAAAACCTCAAAACCCAACAGTGCATTGTACGTGATTAACCTTCCAAAGTACAAAAGCATTTTGTGTTTCATAGATATGATGTATATTATTCAACAAGAATTTCACCCGTTTTTTGGAATGCATTTTGTAATTAACCAGCATCGTACAATAATATTTCACAATTTTTGGTCAGATATCACACTGGGAGTTTGATTTTTTAATTATCTCTGTTGGATAATATGCTTATTCACCAAACACCAACTTAGTCACATCAGTACCGATAATATATATTCTTGTGTTTCTTATAAAACAAATTAAAAGTAAACCCTGCCTTAATTGGGTGCATTTGATTCAAAACAATCTCTACCTCTTCACATTAAAGTCTCTGTTTTATGCTATCCTTCACTATTAATACTAGGTTTATATTTTAGAATTTATCTTACTCTCAACATCTGATCATACTTTAAAGAGATTCATGAATTCCTTATTTATTTGAGTGGAAAAACTTTTCCAAACAGAAAAAACTTGCAACATATTGTAGCCTCCCTCGGATATGGTCGGTTTACCAAGAAAAGTACATGTCTATTCTTTTGCGTTCAACTAACACTGGATCGGTTCTTTCCAATTAATATGCCAATTAAAAAGTAGAAAATCCCAAAGACAAAGGCTTTTAATATATTCTCTTCCTTCTAGATCGGTAATGGGGTATAATCTCATTTACTTGTGAACCCTCGCTTTGGTATAAATTCCCGCTTAAACCCAAAACGAATCACTCATTTATATGTGATTGTAATATTCCTTTTTTATACATGACTCATTGATTAACCTGCTTCTTTTTTAAAATCCCAATTTTCAATGAGGGTTAAGATCACCAATTTAATTATTATATTTTTATGACTATTTACAAGTTTTTAAATAAGATATAATTGGAATGCATTCACAGTATAAAGATTTATACCCCAACAATTAATCATGAATTTGCAAGTTTATTTTATCATGTTTTTAGTTTAGTTTTTAATTATCATAACACGCGTGCACCTTTTCCCCCCTTAATATATAAATTTTGTGCAGTAAGTTTTGCTTTTATTTTATGCACATTTTCCCTTGCTTCTTATTAAGAAACCTAAAGCAAATGGCGCTCTGATTTTTTTTTAGAGCGTAAATTAAAGCTCAAAAAGGAAAAAAGAATACCGAAGAAAGAGACGATGAGGGAGATATGTACCTTGTTCACTTCATATGCACACTTGCGAAGACGATTTGGTATTTGAATAAACTAGTTAAACCTCCCCGCCATCGCAATGACGTGTATACTAATTATTATTCGATTTAAATAATTCCATCCATGTACTAATAATACTTTAATCTTACCAAATAGTCCAAATATAAAGTGACGTGTTTTTATAATACGCCTAAATGGTATATATATTTATCGTTTAAAAAGATTAAAAAAAATTATATTATGTAATTTTAATAATGTTATTTAACTAAAATGAAAATTTTATTTTAATTACTTATGTAATAAAAGCCCATATTAACTACCAAAGTAAACCTCTTAAGAAAGATACAGTTCTTTTAAAATGAGAATAAGCACCATAAAAATAGTGTATTTAGGTTAACGATTGCGAGTGTAATAAAAATAAAGCACACATGCATACATAGTGAACTCTAGTTAATTAGAACCTCAGTCATTTATTTTGTAATCTGTAAATGTGAATGTAGATGTAGTAGTGTAAATTTAGTTTAAACTACACCTTTGTTGTTCTAGAAGAATGAAAAAAGAAATGTATCGAGTATTGCACCGAAAATTGCGTAAACCGGATTTGAATCCATAACGTGTTTCGTTCCGTAAGGAAGGGCGTAACCCGATTCACACGAGGAAAGGCTACGTATGAAAGCGTCGACCATGCATTGAATAATGCCACCGGCACTTACCTACAATTGCCGGTCAAGTCTCGTGTTGTGGCGTGTCACTGTTATTGGCTTCATTACTTACTTCTCATTTTCTTTCCACAAACAGCTTTCACTTCCCAAAGCCGCGCAATCTATCTATCACTTTTGTTCCTTCCTCCACCTAACCAGATCAACCCTATCTCGAATGAACATTTGAGAGCGATATGGAGACTAAGGACTATGCCATGGGAGCTTGTAACTATCCATTCTTTGATTTCTCCTCTGAAGATAAGAGCTCTTTAGGGTTTATGGAGTTGTTGGGTGTGCAAGATTATAGTCCTCTGCTTGATTTGCCTTCCTCGTCAGATATGTTAGTCCCACCTCAGACTAAGAAAGATTCTTCCGAGGTAACCAACCAGCAACCTGCGACTCCCAACTCTTCCTCCATTTCATCGGCGTCCAGCGAGGCGGTTCATGATGAACAGAATAAAACTGTGGATCAAGCTCATCAACATCAGAAGACCAAGGAACAGTGGGTTTCTTTTTTCTAATTGTCTCTCACTTTTCATTTAAATTTTTTGTTCACTTGGTGGTTTATTGGGGCGGTTGAGTGTAAAATACGTATTTGATAATTGAATAAGGGGTAAGACGGGTGATGGTCATGGGAACATGAATTTGTTTTGAGAGATATATATATAATGGTAGTAGTAGGTTAGTTTAATAGATATTTGGAAGATTGTAATGAGATTAATTTGATGGTTTTTCTGGGATCTGGGTTTAGGTTGAAGGCAAAGAAGACAAATCAGAAGAGACAGAGAGAGCCGAGATTCGCGTTCATGACGAAAAGCGAGGTGGATCATCTGGAAGATGGGTACAGATGGAGAAAGTACGGTCAAAAAGCTGTGAAAAACAGCCCCTTTCCAAGGTAGTGACACTTTAATTCTGCGTTTTTTACTTTCGGTTCAATTAAATGAAAATAAGAAAACATTCGTTGAACCGTGTGCAATGCAATGCATATATAGGAGCTACTATCGTTGCACCAGTGCTTCGTGTAATGTGAAGAAACGCGTGGAGCGGTCTTTCACTGATCCAAGCATTGTGGTGACGACCTACGAAGGCCAACACACACATCCAAGCCCAGTTATGGGTCGCTCGGGAGTCTCCAACTTTGGTTCGGTAATGTCTGGATCTGGAAACTACATGTCTCAATACTATCAACAGCAAGTCAACATCAGTGCATTGTCTTCTTTGGGTTTCCTTTCTTCTTCGTCTTCAAAGAATTCCACTTTGACTCAAGAGAGACCGCTTTGCTACAGTCCAGGGGCGACTGCGTTGTTAAGTGACCATGGCCTTCTGCAAGACGTTGTTCCTTCCCATATGTTAAAAGAAGAGTAGATCATAGCTCCATTACTGTTTCTATGTGATTTCTTATTATTACTTTTTGTAGGAGAATATAGATGAGGACTCCATTGCTACACTGGGCATCTAAGTTTTAGTTTTCCTTCTCATCACGATCATACTTGTAAAACCCACTTTATATTTTTTCACATAAATATAGGCCCTGGCATGAAGATCAGTGTAACATGATGGATTTTGATCCGGTGCAGGGATTAGCTAGTTCCTTGTTGCCGTCTCTTGGTAGCTAGCTATTTTCCTGTTTCCATCCAATATCTTCAATTTTAATAGATGGGAAATAAATAAAAGTATCCGTTGGTGGATTGGACTGTGGGTGAAAATGATAACAAAACTAAACAAAAGAAAAGCAAATAGATTTCTATCCTATTTTTAATCTTAAGATTCTGACCCCTCGTTTGTCTTGTGTCTTTGTTTCTTTTTGAAGGAATGTGCTTTCATTCCACTGGCACGGCAGTATAGAATGTAAGGTGTAGGTTTTCAAAGGGGTACAACTGGGGTGTAAGTTTGCTTCCTTTGTTTTGTCCCGGTAATGCACGGAAATAGAATTCTAAGCAATTTCTCTTATAATTTGAAGGATACGGTGGCAAAAGATCTGACCCAATATAGTCATGAGGTAATAAATAGGAAGAGTAGTTCAACCACTGACAATCCGCTTTAACCTCATTTAAGTAAATGCTGCATGTTATGTAATCTATTAAAAGATTTGATTCTTGGGGGTAAAAGGGGGGAATAAAAATCAAGAGAAGTAAACAAATGAAAACTTGAACAAGGTTTTCACTTTTAGGCACCATAATAGCTCATGGCTCGTGTCGTATTCTTTCATAAGTTCGATTCTATTGAACAAGTGAGGCTCTCATCTCATCGTAAGAGAATAATTGGAAGTTAATAGAGTTTCAACGGATAGGCATAGACCAACGCGCACCGAGAGGATGCATATGATACGGCGCCATCAAAGAACCACTGGGCCCTGCTACTATTATACGCTCCCTCTATTAAGCGGCCAATACATTGCATAGAATTAAAACTCTTCGATTCAGCCAAGAATAGGGAATAATTTCCAACCCAAGTTGAATTCTTCCAATTGAATTGCCTAGCCCCTTATTGGTGCCAAAACGGCCTTTCAATTTACCTATCTTCTGTTCCTTTACTCCCTAGACAAATAAATGCGAGAAACGATCCAGCCGACTTGGAAGGTGGAAACCATATCACACTGAGAAATTACAATTTAAAAAGTTATCCATTTGACGTAAAAGACATAATTTCTAGGTTCTCCACAGTGACCAGAATCCAGGACAAGGATGAAAGGTAAGACGAAGTGAATGATACGGGCATTTTGGTACCTTCTACCACGTGGTACTACTGGAGCAGAAAAGGCCATTCATGTTTAAATTCAATTCCAACATAGACAATAATTATTTGTATGCGTTGAATATTTACACGTATACCATGTGGCCACCCATTCTTAAATTTGCAGTCCCTACAGTGGTAGTGGAGCCACATATCTTATCAAGCCCCCTGGGCTTTAATCAATCTCCCGTTCCTCACTCACAAGCAATGTAAGAACATAAAACTCTGAAAACAAGACTCCACAGTATCCCACAAACACAAAAGTCGGGCTGAGGGTATCATAAACATTTGAAACTCTGAAAGTCTCATTCTGGGAGTAAGTTTTACAATCATGAGAGATTCGTATATCCCAAAAGTTAAGCCATGTGATAATCTAGATATCAACGAAGAAGTACTAACCTATACAAGGCTAGTAAATGGGCGTTTAGGAAATCAACAAAATCCCCATTTACAGATTAGTAACAGCCATTGAAATAAACAAATGAGGCAGTAAGAAAACGCAGAACCTCATAAGGAAACATTAGGCTAGTTTTGTAGCAATTTGAAGGTCACTTAATAATAATAATTGTGAACGATGTGATTTCAGTTGCCCAAGATAAATAACATCACACCTATCCAACAACAGGACTTGTTTCTGACTGCCGGTGGTCATGATTTGTTTCCTGCAAAACTACAGAATGTTACATTACAGAAGAATAAGTCCCTCTATTCACTGAATAGAGATTACTTTTCAAACAAGAAGGGGTTGCAGTACAATCATGTTTATTTGTCAAAGCAGGAAAGGAAGATTTTTCATTTTAATTTATTTTTCTGAACTTGTTATAGGAGAAATACATCTGAGAATGCACCTGTTGTCTTTGAGAAACTTGTTGGGAGGAACATAACGACAATTGTGACTGACTACAGCTACTATCCTCCAGCTCTTGCTGCTTCTGAGATTCTTTTTCATACAAGGCATACTCCTCAGGCTTCTCCCACTGCTCCAAGAGTAACCATCACTCACCAAAAACAGAAATTGAAAACAGATTGTTTGAACAAGATCAAAAAGTTGAAACATTACACTGCTTTCACAAGTGACACAGTTGTAGTAGTACTTAAAACCATCAGGGCAGTAGTGTTCACTCCAGTCACACTCTGGAAAATCTTCATCTTCTGGACTTGTAGGCATATCAGGTGGGGTATTGCCAGCAACTGTATGAGGGTTGCTTCCAGTCTGAGTAGGCAGCTGGGAAGAACATTAAACTGAGAAAACTATTGCAGTCTGCCAATAAATGTGCTTAAACCATAACTTTTCACATTAAATAGTTCATTTAAACGTTTGCAACATACTAAATGGTCAGTAGTGCGGAGAAAAATGTTCAATAGTTGGCCGTTACTTATAACAGATCAACAGCGACTCTCCTAAGATTGTTCCTCAATTATAACAATAACTTATCCCACTAGATGAGGTTGGCTACTTGAATCGCACATTATTGGACTGGGTTAAAAACCAAAGTCTCAGATATTATTCATTATGAGATTTCTCTTAACAATTTCCTCTAATGTCCGTCGTCTCTCTATACCCTTTACTGGACTAAAAATCATCCACAAATATAACAAAGCATAACTTCATAAAAAGAAATAAATGAGTTAACAATTTAAATAATTCAAACAGAACAGAAGCATCGAAGAAATTCGTAAATGCTCAAAGTTATTATATTTATAAAGGCAAAAAGATTGCAAAAGTTTCCAGGATAATTAAAAATACATTTGATGATTTAAGGCAGTTATAACTAACTATAAACATAAACCCAACGGTACAATAGATAATGCTATTGATTTAATTACATCAATCCACCTCTTCAAAAACAGAAATTTACTTCCATCACAACCAAAATTTAAGAGACTTCTGATGATCAATTACAGTATTATCAGTTAGTAACTAACCTGTGAACTAAGATGCTGCTCTATATTTTGAACTGATGAATCTGCAGTATGTGATTGTCTCTGCACCTCGGTAATAAATGTTTGAGAAGACAACTTTGGAGTTTGAAATGACCCCAAAGTCATTGAAGCCAACTGTGAATGCACTTGTTGGGGAGGATATGGCTGTTGTACCACAGTAGCACCAGGTTCCCAGTTTTGCATACGAGAAGTAACTTGTGGGTGTGCAATTGTGGAATGATGCGGGGCAACATTCATAATATTTCCTCCACCACTGGAATCACCAAAATTTGGCAGTGGCCTTGAAAAGACAGTAAATTGAAATTTATTTAGCATGTAACATCTGTGTTGCAATTAGTAAAGAAGGGGGCAAATGAAGTGAAACAAACCATACGGCTGGTTCTTGAGAACAAGGACCAAAATTTGCATTCACAGATAAAAAGTTGCCCCTGAAGAAAGATGCACATGAATAGAACATGAATACAATTCCTAAAATTATCTCCATTAACAAAATAGTAAACAAAGATTCAAGTGATTGGAAAACCAGATTGGCCATTGAACCGGAAAGGGAAACCAATTCATGATTGAATGGTCTCACTTGCGTTGAATAATAATTGAGTTCTAGTTTTTCTATAAAACAATTTTTTTTTTCATAAATATGACAAATATATTAAAAGCATAACACTCTGATACAACTTGGTGCTTGTTTATTTTAAATTGGTTTAATATGTTGGTCCCTTTTTAGGTATTCTTAAATAGGTCCCTACCTAAGTTGTAAGAATTTGTAATTGAATCTTTAACCTTTTATGAACTTTTGTACTCAGGTCCCTGGGTTATTGGTTTGTCTACAAACAGTTAACTTATGCCCAGGAACCAAATTACAAAAATTAGAAAAGATTAGGGACCTAGTTAAAATAACTCAAAAAATATTTAGTATGAAAATTGTGTTAAAATGTTCTTTTATTTTGAAATAAAGGGAATAATATTTTCTAAGATAATTACATATAAAAAAAAAAATATGAAAGTTATAACCTCTTCTAAAAAAATAGTTTTTAAAATTGGTCCTGCCCCATGGCTTGGTGGGTCAAGCCAGGCTAGGCTCTAAAAGAGCAGAGCCAATTTGGTCTGGCTCTATGTGTCAAACAAGTAAGACCAGGCAGCGGATATCTTGGTCAGAAATTTACCGAGCCTATTTGATCATTTTTTTTTTCTTATAAAAATATACAAATTTATGCAAAAGAAAATAAAACAGGTTAATTTGGTCTCACCTATCAAGCTAGACATGCCAAAAATTCACGGCCTATTTAAAAATCGTCCCAGCCCAGCCTGCTATTCAAACTTTGGTCTATTGGGCTGAGCGCCCATTTTGACATGTCTACTAAAAACACAGCTCCATCCTTAAATGACAATTAATCTTTCTTATTTGCACTAAAAAGAGTTATTGTACAGGATGACCCGGCAGCTCTAGCAAGTTATAAGACAAAGGATCTTTGGAAGGAAATTTATAGGGTGCGCAAATTACATGACCTGTCTCCCATTACTAATTTTTATTTAGGGATAATACATTGATAAATCTTAAAATTTTGTAAAGAGTATTATGTCAAAGTCAATAATCTGTAAATGAACCATTAACTCCAAGGACTTCATGACGAAATTTGGAAAAGATTAAGGACTCAAGCAAATTTTTATAGTTTAGGGACCTATTTAAAAATAAAATAAAATTCAAGGACCTACAAGTATTAAACCTTTCAAATTTTAAACACTCAACTCCTATTTGCGTCAAATAAACCCCAATTTAATTGTAGCATGTCTGGTAATGTTTTCACAATGAATGCCTAAGGATCCAATTGCAAGGTATGTGACTTGAGATTTGATTCCCATGCTAGAAGTATGATTAAGGTGACAGCTATAAGGCAATGGGCTCTTCAACTACAATGACTAGCTTTCACGATGTGGTTCTCCCATGTTTCCTATCAATTTGACCAGTTTAGGCAAAACCAGAAAATTCAACCAGCCAATTCAGATTGTTATTGAGTCATTGACTTGCTACAAGATGTGAACCAGTTTACAGTTCACCTGGTCCACTTTGCCTATCTAGCCTGGTTCACATAACACTAGAAAATATGCACCTGTAAACAGTTCGGACGACACACAAATTTAATATTTTATTTTCACATACCAAGGTAAAGACTCATTGCCACTTAGCCAAGAAAGTAAAGTTGCCTGATTGGAAACTCCCTTCCCACTCAATATAAATAAAAATAAAAAGTTGTACAATGTATAACTACTTGTTAACTTGTTTGTGTTGCATTAATTTATTAATAACAAAGACAGCAATGAACATAGTTATATGAAAGATAAAGGGATGAGAAAGAAAAACCTTGAATCTCTAATCCTGGGTTTCTTAGGATCCGCAAAACGAACAATTAATGGATGATCACAACCCTAGGTGATTAAAATAAAGACTTTAGCTAGCATTCGAAAGTAGACAGAGTAATATGTATCAATTAAATAAATGAGCTTTACTCTCATCGTGAAGGTTCTATTCAGCCCTTTGATTGCAGCCAATGCCATTTCTCTGTTAGAAAATTTTACAAAAGCATATCCTTGAAAATCAAGACATGCATCCACAAGTTAGATGAAAATGAAAACAGTGAATAATAAATTGATGACATAAATTAAATACAAGACTTGGTGTCAAAAGCAACCACAGCTAAAAATACAAATAGTCCATTGGGGATGGAGCATGGTCCTCTCTTTAACGTATATATGTTCCAAATATTACATGTGTGTTTGGTTTATCATTTGAAAGATGTTCAATGGACTTTCACTCATTCCAATGCACAAAACATAGGAATAACTCTTGTCCCATTACATCAAACATAAATTATGTTCAAAGTAACTTTTTCACAAATGCACCCAAAGTTATTTTATGGTGGAACTGGTCCTGAAAAAATAAAAAGTATTGGTGGCAACGATAGCCTATGTTCAGTATCAAGGAGATACAAAACAAAGATCAATGAAAATAGAATAGTATGATCTCCTTCCTATCCCCCAGTCCCAGATACTTGAGAGTTAAGACAGCTGGACCCTACCCACCCAATTTTCACTCCAAAATCCAAGACTCACTCTTTTCTTTCCCTCTAATAATTTATATTCTGTTGTTCCTCTTTCACTAACTAAGCAATTAATTTAGGGGTCTCCAAACATTTTACTTGTACTTTTTTCTTCATAAGTCATCATTCTTGAAGAAAATAATTGTGAGATTTGACAGAGAGAGAGAGAGAGAAAGAAACCATCTTTACACACTGCCCACACCATCTCTCCTAGTTTTTATTCAAGGTCTGCAACTTGTTTCCTTATAGTAGAAATGTTAGGAAAGAAATAAAAGACAGATCAAATACATGACCATTCCTCAAAACCACAGATATTGTATGAAAAACATTGCATGATGACAAGATCAAGGACCAACCACGATTCTGCGCCAAGAAGATATCTTCTACATAACCATAAGGGGAAAATATCTGCAAAGAATATGCATACAGAACTCATAAACATAACGTGAATATCATAACCAGCAGATTATAAAGGATATTCCACAATATCCTATATCAAAGAAAAATACAGGGCTACCAAGTAGGCAACATTTCCGTCCAGCTAACCTAGGATGTGGGTCTAGAATCTAGATACATTTCTACAAACTACAATTAGCATATCCTTCAGTTAAATACAAAACCATGGATATAGTCATTGGCATGAAAAAGATGTTAAAGTAACTCATGTTCAAGCGATGGAAAAATATGGATGATAGAGAACAGTGAAACATACTTCTTCAATTTCCTTTTCTGTAGCTTCTTTGTTGAAGGAACTAACAAAAACTTTATCAACCACCTCTGAAAAAATATAGAAACAAAATAAGAAAACAAAATGAATTAATCAGTTGAGAATAAAAGAATAAAATATTAGATTAGACAATCATATATTTAAATAGTAGGCCATGGCTATCCTGGAAAAAGATGAGAAGTTTGCCTTCTAAATGATCTTTCTTTTCCATGTTACGTAGAACCCCTATAAAAAGAATAAAAAAGATTCACATAAGTTAAACAAACACTGCTTTAAATCACTCATTACTAGCTGGAGAAAGTAAACCATATTCTATGCCATGTTCTCATCAACCAAACTTATAATATGAACATGATAGGATGAACTCTTAAAAGTATTAAATTTAAACTCAGTTGTCAATCCCGGGTAGTGGAGTGGAGCAGCTGACCCCAAAAGTAGGATAGTGGGATTGCATAATGCGAGATGACCACTATTATAATATTATATTTATTAAATAATTAATAATATATATCATGGCAGTTGAATCGAGATTCAAATTGTGAATCAGAATACCCATTTTTTGAATCGTGGATCAAATTGTATCGTGAATTGTAAGATTCATGATCAATAATAAAACAAGCATACACAATTAATAAAGACATATTAAAACACATTCATAATCAATAACTAAAAAACATAACTCTAGTAGCATAAGATATATGAGTTCTACTAAAAATTCTTATAATAGAACAATTTTAAAATTTATAATAAATATTCCGGTATTATATTTATTATATATTATTAACACTAATTACATATTTGTATTTAAAAAACTATAACAGATTTTATTTATTATGTTATGCAATAGATTTTATGATAAAGATATTAAAATACATAAATATCAGATTGATTAAATATTTTTTATTTGATAATAGAATAATATTAAAATTACAATGAATATTCTGTCATTAAAATTATTATAAATTTTAATTTATAATAAATATTCTGCTATTATATTAATTAAATATTTATATTTGAAAATTTGTAACAGATTTTATTTATTATGTTTTATAATATATTTTATGATAAAAGTATTAAAATAAACAGTTATCAAATCGATCAAATATTTTTTATATGATACTAGTTTACTAGACAAACTTAAAATATCAGATCAATATTTAAAATTGAAGGTCAAAACACACAGTACGTGTTATAACTAAAAAAAAAAAAAAAAACAGGTCCTTAAAAGTTGAAAAAGAAGCCCAATACATTGTCGTTGGGAATTAGGGTTGTGCATACCCAGTTAGGCACAAAGACACTTGTGAGCAGAAATATCGAGCGGCGCAACTTGCCCCCTCCGACTGTCATTTTCCATAATTTTGATGTCAGAAGCGTCACTCCAGCTGCAACAGCCAGGCACAATGGCCCTTGGAGGAGCAGTAGACTGCCGCAACTCCTACGAGAAACACAAAAGCTATCCGTTTTGAACCAAAATCGTACAATTCAGATACAAATTGCGAATCATATGATTCTCACACGATTCAAGCAATTCAAGAACAAAAATGATACGCAGAACAATTCGCATCACATTTCCTCTGTATCGTATCAAATCTCATGAATTGTATCAAGATTCATCCGATACTAACCACCATGATATATATAAGCTAAAAAACAGAAAAATGACTCAAAATTCATGCAATAATAATAGTTCATAGTACTTAAACAAAGCATAGCATAGAGAGTCAAGAACACAATGTGCTTAAAGCTTATAAATCATCATCTAAAGGTAAAGCTCTAAGTAACTAAAAAGGTAAACATTAAAATTCAATGTTCATCCTCGTCAAGATCCAAGTTATCCTCTCCTTCAATTTCATCACTACTCTCACTGCTGACCACCAATGAACAAAACCATACTAGTAAAAAAAAGATGAACTGAATAACAAAATTGCTGCTGCCAGAAATAAAGGAAAAAGGAAGAGAAAAGGAAAAGAAAAAATAAGAAAAGAAGGGAACAGAAAAATAAAAAAAAGGAAACAAAAAAAACTGACTCTTTGAAGAAGAAGACAGCATCAGACAAACAAACCCACTGGAGAAGAAGAGAGGATGAAGAGAAGAGGTTAGGGCAACAGCAAGAGAAGTGCAGGCAACAACACAATTAGGGAAAGGAT